ACATTGAGAAACTTTCATTTTATACTAAGAACATAAATCACTTTAAGTCTATATAAATTTTATTATAATTTTATGTATAACGTGTAAATACATTTAAATGAAAGCAAAATCGATTCAAGGTTATAAATTTTATTATAATTTTATATATGACATGCAAATCTACAAATTAGAATATAATGTATAAATTGACACCTTTTTTTTTCTTAGTGATTTTAGAGAAATAAAAAAATAATTCATAAAATATAATTTATTATTATAATTTAGTATCCAAATTTTTTTTGTTTATAGTTTGATTCATAAATTTATAATTTTTTTTAAAATATAAATTCTTAATAAAATTTTGCCTAGAATTAATATTAATTGAAAAACATAAAAAATACTTTGAAAAATACAATGTTTCTAAACAATATTTGGAATTGAAAATAATTTTTCCATGAATGTTCGTTTTTTTTTTTCAGATTAGTTATTATTATCTGTATTTAAACAAAGAATTATTTTTATTGAAATTATAAAGTTTAATATTTAGTTATTATAATCTTCAAAGTTTATTGAAAATATGATTATAACAAAATAATTTTTTTTTTAATTTTCTTCAAAATTTTGTACAAAATAATTGAACTGAAATAATTTTGTAAATCTAAAATTCATTTTTTTTTAAAATTTCTAAGATAATTATAACATGAAGAATAATTAATACTAAAATAATAATAAATAACATATACACATACTTCTTTTAAAACCGAATAATGGTCAACTCTCATCAGATCTACAGTGAGAGTAAGGGAAGAATATGACACTACGTTCACAGCAAAGGTATATATTATTTTTGACATGTTATTAGCAAATATATATATATATATATACATACATAATAAAAAACTTTCACATGCCAATTTTTTATCTTTTGAAGATCATTTTGTCTGTAATGCAATAATATATATAATAATTATCTATTTAATTTTTAAATATAGTAAATAAAACGAATGTAGCAATAAAAATCTAAAAATACAACAACAGAGTTACTTTTTTTTTTTTAAATAAAGATTCGAAAAACTTAAAAGAACATAAATAATAGGGTTACTCATTACAGAGTAAGTATCTTGAATTCTTTGTTTGATTCTCAATAAAGGTAGAAATCTTTTGGAAACACAATAAAACACATATCAGATTAAGTAATGCATCTTCATTCAATTCACAGAACACTGAAGTGTCGTATGCAAAAAATAAATAAATTATCTCATCTGTTTGCTCACCTTCTCCCACCTTAAGTCCTCCTAACAAACTCATCTCCTTGTCCCTTAACAATAATTTATTGAAAATTTTCATGACAACAACGAATATTAAAAGAGATGATATATCTCTTTATTTAAGACTGGATGCCTTAAAGAAGGAAGATGGAACGTCATTCACCATGACCACAAAAGATCTAGTGGTAACGCAAGAGTTGATCCATTTGCACTATTTATCTCCAAAGTCCAATTTCTTTAGCAAGTTCTTGATGAATCTCCAATTGATCATAGACTTTCTCCATATAAAGATTGCAAATGATCCCTTCTCTATTTCTAAATATTAGATCATCCACCACCTTATTGGTCACCAAGACTATATCCATAATTTGCCTTCCTTCCACGAATACATGTCGACATTAACCAACCACTTTACCCATCACCTTTGTCATTTTTCTAGCTAACACATTTGCAATGAGCTTGTAAACACTCACAAGTAGGTTCATAGAACATAAGTCCTTGCAGTAATAAAAAGTTTTGAAGTAATGCAGTATAACTTCTCCTTCCACACAATGTGGTTACCTTTTGGATTACCATCACCTCCTCCATTAACCCTACAGTATATGATCTATTGCCCATCAACTGAATTCCCTGAAAGGCTTCCTATTCTTTTGGTGCAAGTTTTTCTGCAATCAAAGGAAGGCCAAGTCTCAATAACCTGATCCAATTGCCTGCCAACCAACAGTTCTAGCACCTTCAAAGAAAATATTACCTTAGAATTCTCGCTGATTGCCCAGAAAAACTCTAAAGTTTCTCCTTCACCTCTGCTAGAAAATGCTTGCCTGGTTCTCTCTAAGATTGGGGAAGATTCTTCTTCATTTCCCAAATACCAGTGTTGCCTAGTAATCATCTCATTCCTCTTTTGTCATGAAAGTCTGAATTCTTTTTTTATGGTAAATCTAATTATCCTAGGTGTAAAAAAGCTATTGTCTTCTTTAACGGAGATTTTAAGAGTATATTGGGTAAAAATCACCTAAGGATTGGAGAAAAAAAACAAGAAAACAAAAAAAGAGTGATTTCTTAATGAAACGAAAAGAAAAGTGTTTCCCTTTTTTCAATTACTAAAATTCGAAAAATTAAAGAAAACTGGAGGATTTAAGTAATATTTTGTTTGGTTAAGTTTTATAAAAATAAATAAATAAATTAGTTATCATAAAATAATCAATTATTTCTCTTAATGAAATAATGAAAATGGAAAAATTACCTTTGAAGTTTTCGAGCACTTTCATTTCATTTCCCCTTATTTTCCACCTAATTTGGAGAAATGGGAAACTAATTGTTGTTTTTTAAATGAAAAACAAGAAAGAGAAGGACCTTCATCATCGTTCAATTCCTTTACTAATTGTTGTTCTTTTTCCAAACAAGTACAGAACAAGGATGAACATCTCTTCTTTTTCTTTCCTTTTCCTTGCTGCTATCTATGTCAATCTAAACATGGAGTAAAAAAATTTGCCCTTAACTGAGAACTCTCTAGATTCCATGTTTTGAAAAGGACAAATAAACAAGATAAGAAACTACTAGGTCCCATGAAAAATCTAAAAGACACCACAAACATTCAAGAGATAATGAAAAAGAATACTCATTAAGACAAAGTGATGAAGCAACCCAATAGCTTCATAGTCTTCTACCATGAAGGTCTCAGTACCCCCTAAGAAGATGTCAATTTCACCTAAAGAAATCAGATCCCCATAATATATTTTACTGGTAGAGCTATAAGTCAGGCACACTTCAAAAAGTGGCCAATCTAAACTAGGTGTTTCATGCTTAGTAAGAAAATAAGATATATGAGATCTTATTTTCAGTTCCTGGATTTGGAGTTAGGTTTTACAGTGTAAAGAATTTCTTTATATGACACCTTTATAAGATAAGTAGTTCAAGAGTGCTCCGAGTATAAGTTTCAGAAAAAGGATCCACGCAGATGGTGAAAAGGCTTGCCCAGTTATACATGAGAGTTTTAGATTATGCTATCACAAAATCAATAACTAGGAAAGTAAAATAGTAAATATACAGACCTCTCCCTTAAAATCAGGTGGTTTTTCATATGTTGATTGTCTTGTCAACGCATTATAGTAGTAGACAATTCCACTTTCAGTCTTGTGGGCAGTCCAAGCATCTAATTGTTCGCCTACAGCAGAACCATCCTTATTGCCAACATCTTGAGCAGGTTTCCTATTATCTGCAAATTACCATGTGATATTGATGAAGAAAATATTAACATCATGTAATAGTGATTGAGGTCAAACATCTGTTACATTGTTAGCTGATTAGTAATCTAGCATGAAACTCTGAGCATACCAATTCCTGGGAGTGAGTCTGTCTATGATATGAGAATCCGAACCAATTGATGATCTGATGTAGCAGCAGATGTTGGACTGGTGCCTGCAGTTCCCAAAGAAGTAACACCAACTGGTTGAGAATCAGATACGGGACCAGAAGGAAGAGAAGAACCAAATGCTGGTAAAGGATAAGGTCCTGGATAAACAGCAAGATGCGGCAAAAAAGGTGGGCAAGGGATGCCACCTATCTGAGGTGGCTATAACCAAAGATGAGATCAAAACAATAAGATTTTAGAATATAACAAATAAACGTGAAAATCACAGTTGACTCATTCATGAATATAAGAAAAAGATAATAATGAGGCAAAATAAAATGGGAAAAGACAAGGCAAAAGTATACAAATGTAAATGCCTTAACTCCTAATACGACATTAAAAAAACATTTTTTTTTTTTTTATGGAAACCATATAAGAAACAATGGCATTTGGTCCTAGTTCCTACTCCGTACACGTCAAGTAAATGCTACATAGTGTCTATTAGAGTAAGTTGCATATCCTATTATTTAAGCCTGAGACTTTAATACTCTATTCAATTCTCTAGTCAATTCTTGTGTTAAAGCACGCACACAAACATCAAGTTAAAAACATTTAATTGTTTACACTTACTAGATAAAGTTTCACATATAATGAACACCACATGTGGAATTAAATGTTTATCAATCAATCTAAGACACCGTAGATTGCCTGTCCAAGACTTAATTCGATAGAAACAAGCTGAGTTAGGACTTATATTTTTTGAACAGCATGGAAGAAATCAAGATGGTAACATACAGTTTTAGACAACTGACTGTTCTTTATCAATTGAGAATTCCCATTAAAATGAAAATTTTGGAGTATTTGACAAGATTCCTTCTAGTACAGGTGCACAAGGCGACATCACTAGCGCAGCTGTTCTAGGCATAGAGGAATTTGGAAGTACCAACGAGCTCGGATGCGTAGACTACCGAGGAACTGAAGGCTGCAAGGATGTTACAATTGAAGGTGGAGTAGTCTGTCCCCCTTGCAAATGATTTGGAGTAACAGGATGGAACATGATAGAATTCTTTAAATAATCAACAATCAAAATTCACAAGAAAAGCATCGTATGACTAAATTATCGCCTCTCTTATTCTTTCTCTCTTCCTTCCCACATACTTCATCTGCTCTCTCTCTCTCTCTCTCTCTCTCTCTCTTTGCTCCTTCTATGTTCTCAACCCCGTCGTCTCCTTTTTCTAGTTTTCCCTCTTCCTTTTTCTTTTCCCCTTCCCCCTCTTTAACCATTGTCAGCCACAACCTCTTTCCTTTTTCACCAAACCTCCTTCTCAATAGCTGAAATCGAGCTCTAAAAGGCTTTCCTAGTTTCCTAGTGCTTCCCTGGTTACTTATATGATTCTCCTTTACTTCACTCTGCCTCCTTTTCCAAGCCTAGCAACTTCGACTCAAATAATCACGATCCTCTCCATTTCTGTCGGCTGGGAACTTGAAATAGAAAGAGGATTTTCTTCGCATTTGTCTTTCTTCATTTTTAACCTGCTACCTCCGTTGGTTTCCTGCTTATGCATCTCTCTCTTTTTCTCTCTCAAAATTGATTTTTTTTTGAAAAAAAAAAATTAAAGACCCTAAAAAACCTCCTAACACCTCCCCATGGTGGAGTTGAAAGAAGATGGAGAGGAAATGGACCCTTTTTGTTAGGAATTAATTGAATTAATATATAATTTACAACAAAATGCAATTTCTAAATATCAATATACATAACAACACATATAATTACATTAACATATAACAACGTATATGTGAATGTTCACAACATAAATATCTTTTATAAAAATCGAAACTTTAAAAAAAAAATTAGTCAAAAAAATTTATTCTTTTTCGCAAAAACTGAACTTTTTCATAGAGAGAGTATGTGTGTGTGTGTTTTTTTTTTTTTTTCCTGTATGTTGTGTCTTTTTTTTTTCCAGTTTTTTATTCTTACAGAACATTAAGTGGATAACTTCTCCTTTTCTTTTGGATGTGGTAATTAACCACAATCTTTTGATTTTGAATTTTAAACTAGCAGTTACCACAAATGCAACTGGGTTCGGTCCCATCATGGGTGATCCACCTAACTAAATTCGATATCTCTCACTCACACATGATGAGACCACCTCTCTCTTTAATTCTACAAGACTCATACATAAATAAGCCGTGTGACCATACATACTTCTAGAGCACTTTAACTAAATATCTGTTAGGAGTATATAACTTTTTGAATAGTGAAGATTAGAGTATGCAATTGTATGCTATACCCTAGATCACATATCACATTTATATATCTAACTATCTCATTTAACTAATAAATCGAGTACATTCATAATTATGTTTTTCAACAGATAAACATAATTGGTCGACCAATGAATGTATATCAATAATATGATATATCATTAATTTGTAATCAGATTCTAGGGCCGTCCCCATACCTCGTCTGGTATGAGCGCCAAAACTATAAACCTCAATACCCCGTCCGGTATGAGGGTGAAACGGGCTGTCCCCATACCTCGTCCGGTATGGGCGCCAAAACACATAAGGTCTCCATACCCCGTCCGGTATGAGAGACCACAATCCCGGTAGGGTTCCCTACGGACCCGGTCCGTCCACCATCTCCCAGGATATCTAGTTAGGCTGACCACATTATACAATTATCAATTTACATAATCTTTTATTCCCTTTTTCCTCAGTTAGCATCATCAAATCACATACAAACTAGCAAACCAGTAATTTATGCCAAACAAGACAACATACAACATCGGGTTCCCAGTCATTCAACCCATAATCAATAAAACAGTGATATATGCACACGAAAGTATGAAATGAAAACATCAGACCTCATACTGCATTTAAAACTGTAAAATAGGCCAAACAACAGTTGACCGACAAACACACCAGACTCGGGCTCCATTAGCGACCTTAAACAATTTCACCATCTATTGATTCATGAAATACCGTTTTATCATTTATTGAACTTTAATACCGTGATAGGAAATAGGGTGATGGGTTCTTACTTGTTTCGGGGTCTGAATATGGCTCTACAGTGCGCCTACAGGCTGTCCCTAATTTTTTTTGAATTTTTTCCGGGGAACTGAAACGCACTACTGGTATCTGTATGTGTCCCAAAAATCCTAAATTAGACCCAGGGCCCCTTTCGGCCAATATCACAATTCCGGCACGGCAGCTCCGCCGTGCTCCGGCGACGGCGACGGCGATTCGCCTCGGGTTGGCCGTTTTTGGCCGTTTCTAGCCGAATTCGGCCACACTTGCATCGGTCCCTGCGATAAAACAACCCTAGGGCCCTCGGTGGGCCAAAAAATTACGAAAAACCGAAGCTTACCGGCGGCGGTGCTCTCAGGTGCGGTGGCTCTCCGGTGTGAATCGTGTTTTGGTGATTTGACTCCGATTAACCTGTAGAGAAAAGAACGGTGATCACAGTGGTATAAAATTTGCATCAAACGGAGGTCGGGAAGGGCCTCATCAGAGGCAAAAACTGAGGAGGGGCGCGGCGGCGCCGCTGGGTTTCAGCTGAGTTTTCCGACCGTTTGGCCGGTGGTTTGGCTTCGGTTTGGCCATAGGCGGACTCAGCGTTGAAAAATGAGCAAGGGGAAGAAAAATTACCTCGATCGGCGGTCGCAAATTTCCCCGGTGCGGCGGCGGGTGGCGACGGCCGGCTCCTCTGGCGACTGGTTCTTCTTCTCCGGCGAGCACTGGCGGCTAGGGTTTCTTTGGTCAAGTGTGGGTGGGGGTATTTATACCCTTCGCCTTTTAATCTTGACCGTCTATCAAGATTGAATCTGGACCGTTCGATCACGATTTAATTGGGATTAAATCTGGGCAGTTCATTGCGATGCAATCTGGGCCGTCCGTGCGCGTGAATCTGGGCCGTCCGTACGTGTGAATCTGGGCCGTCCGTAAGCGTGAATCTGGGCCGTTCGTACGCGTGAATCTGGGCCGTCCGTGCGCACGTTTGATCTGGGCTGTCCGTGCGCTCGGGAACAGATCTGGGCTGTCCGATCGCGCGCACGCGGATCGCACACGTGGCTCGTCCCCTGGTCAGTGTTTCCTTGCCACGCGGCGTGTCTTGGTTGGCTTGGGCTGCTGACCGGGCCGTTGACGTGGCTGCTAATGTGGGTGCTGACGTGGCACAACTTTTCTAAATTCCGTTTTGACCTCTGGTTTCTGATTTTCTTTTCAAAAACACCCCCAGAATCTAAATTTTCACCCCTTTTTCCCAAAATCAATTTCAATTAAATTCAAATAATATTTTTACCCAATTTTATCATTATTATTATTTTTATTTTCATTTAATTAAATAAAATTAAATTAAGTAAAAATCTAAAAAAATCAAAATACAAAAAATGGAAAATAAAAATAATAAGAATAAAATTAAAATACTTGAGTGTTACAACTCTCCCCCCTTAAAGAAATTTGGTCCCCCAAATTTGCCTCTTACTCTTGGTCGAACAAATGAGGATATTGAGCTCTAAATTCAGATTCCAGCTCCCAAGTAGCCTCCCTGGGCGTGTGGTTCTGCCACACGACCTTTACAAATGATATTTCCCGGTTGCGGAGTATTATGCTCTTTTGGTCCGTGATACCGACCGGTACTTCTTCATAAGACAAGTCCTCTTGGAGTGGAAGCGGTTCATGAGCTAAGACATGAGAAGGGTCCAGGTTGTACTTATGTAGCATAGATACGTGAAACACGTTGTGGACTTTGGGGAGCTCGGGAGGCAGTGCTAGTCTGTAGGCAGCGGTACCAATCCTGTCTAAGATTTCAAAGGGTCTAATATATCGGGGGTTTAATTTTCCCCTCCTGCCAAACCTACTAATTCCCTTGAAAGGAGTGACCTTAAGAAACACACGGCCGCCTTTCTCAAACGCTAGGTCTCTCCTCCGGATATCTGCATAACTCTTCTGCCTACTTTGAGCTGTCTGAATGTTCTTCTTGATTTTAACTATCTTGGACGTGGTCTCCTCTACCAACTCTGGGCCGAACAATCTTCTATCGCCCACTTCCTCCCAACAAATCGGTGACTTGCACGGGCGCCCATATAGCGCCTCATATGGGGCCATGCCGATACTTGCTTGGTAGCTGTTGTTGTAAGCAAACTCTATCAGGGGTAGATGGTTGTCCCAATGGCCCCCAGAGTCAAGGACACAAGCTCGGAGCATATCCTCAAGCGTACAAATTGTCCTATCTGATTGTCCATCAGTTTGGGGATGGAAGGCAGTACTAAGAGACAGCTTTGTTCCCATAGCTTGCTAG